TGGGAGAGGGTATAAAGGAAATTCCCATCTTGGTAAAGGGTGGAGATGCAATTTCGTCCTTCGGGACGTCCCGGACCGTTAAAATGGGAGCGATACAGAGAAAATTTGCTTGCATGGCCCCTGCGCAAGCAAGGATGACAAGCATAAATCGGGAAATGGTCCAAATTTCCCGAAAAAAAGAAAGAAAAACACGAGAAATGCAACAGCAAAAAAGCTTGTGAGGAATTTATGCTTGCAGGGGTCCCCTCTGTATAGCCTTGGAGAAGTGGTAGGTAGGTAGTGAAAGCCGAAAAGGAATTTGAGAGAAGAGTATAGCGTAGTTTTCCTTTTTAAACGCACCCTCAAAATGGTTGTACTGGAGCGGAAAGATCGCTCGTATACATTCATTATCGAGGTGCGTTATGTTCGGGGGTCACAGCTAGGAGTAGTGCCCGGGGGGTACTGCAAAAGATCAGCATCAACGGCTAAGAACAACAATATCTTTTTCTTGAGTAATGGATTTCAGCAACTGTCTCTTATACACATCTAGATGTGTACACACACACACACACACACACACACACACACACACACACACACACACAAAAAAAAAAAAAAAAAAAAAAAATCTAGGTTAAAACGAGTAACCTCTGAGTACGCACGTAAAATATCTGCCAAAAGAAATTACACCGAATGCGCGTCGCGGTGACAATGCATGCAGCACAATGCTGCCCACTGCCCACCCCACCGCTTTCTGGTGCTCTATCCAGTAGTATCCACACAATCCTCCTCATCCATGGACCTGTCCTGGGGCCTGGGCCACGGCAGGTACCAGGAAGGGACCACCAGAATTATGGCCGGTACCAGGAAGACAGGACGGAACCAGATGACCAACAGAGCTCTGCAAGCAACCACAGAGTGTGGAAAATGAGTTTGGCCATCAACGACTAAATGGCTATCCGCATTCGCCCGTGGGCAAGGCTGGGTAGGCTCTATCGTCACACACTATGGGCTTCACTCGACATGCATAAAAGACAGCACTCCTGCTGGAAGGACCGCCTGGAGGTGCCTGGTCTCAAGCTAGGTCCATGTACAACCAGGGGACCCTCAGGAAGTTAGGAACAACAAATTTTGACGAGTTTTCGGCCAAAAAACTCGGTTTCTATTTCGTTCAAAAAATAAAAAATGTCCCTTTTGATGAAATGGCAGTTGTGGTGTATCTTTCCGTGATTACTTCGCAGAACATTCGCTCTCATTTACCAGTGTGGTGAGTAGTGGAGCCAGGCCCTATGTCCATGAAAGGGGCGAATACCTTTGGCCTTTGGGACAACGAAAGGGAGACCGAATTCATGGGCAGAGGGGACAGACCTGCAAAGGCCTCTTAATGACATCCTGGAATAACCTTTTTTCTTTCCACGACAACTTCGAAAAGTGTAGAGTCACACACCTCCGCACAATGTGCCACGCCGCCACACAGTGCACGCCGAGGCAAAACAAAACCCACGGTAGTGGGACATGGCCCCAGATCCTTGCGGAGAAGTTGACGCTCCTTTTGGGATTTTGATTAGATAACTATTAAGTATGAATTGTCCTCGTCACTGTCGTCAGTGTGGTAGAAAGAGGATTTCATTGTTGGGTGTGTGGAAAAGTGATGCAGATTGAAAAAAACGGAAAATCTTTGGAAAATTCCTGAAAAAAAAAAGAAAAAGGAAGCGAATGAAAATAATAATAATACTAATAATAATAATTAAAAAAAAAAACAATAATAATAATAAAAATAAAAATAAAAATAATAATAATAATAATAATAAATAAATAAATAAAAGCTTTCAAAAATTGAGGTTACGGACATTTGGCATGAATTTCGTGTGCGTGATGGACAGACACGGTGACACCCTTTGGTAAATTAGAATTTGCTCAAATAAAATTACACCCACTGTCACCCAGCCAGGCCCTGTCAAAATCCCTCTTTGAAAAAAATAAAAAAAATAAAAAATCACTCTTTGAGATCCCGACAGGCAGGTGTAAGATCTGTGTCTGCTGCTCTGCCAGCGTGGAAGATAACGATGCACAGGTGTGTTTCAACGGAGGCATTGGAGCAAGCAGTGTAGATCTCGGTATCGTATACTACAGGCATATTACCTATAATTAACCCAGACGTAAGCACACTCTCCATTGTCTCCAACTCTGCACAAGAACAGACTCTGAGGGGAACAGCCTGCAAGTACGTGCCTTCTGGATGGACGATCCAGAGATGCAGACCATCATTTTTTTCCCAAGTTCTTTTTTTTGGCTGTTTTTTTTTTTTTTTTTTTTTTGAACAGAGTCCAAGTCCAAATCTTTAATATGGACATTGGATACAACAGTGCTACCTAGTACTACCATCTTCACCCGCCCAGTCATTAGCTCCGTATCTAGACTAAAACTTGCACCAAATTCAGCTATTATAATGACCATGCATTCAGAATCTCTTCCGGTGAAGATGGTAGCTGCTATCCCAGTTTAAAGCACCACTGCTGCACCGCAGCACCAGTTGTTGTTCCATAAGTCATGATGGCCGGTCCGGGTCCGGGACCGGGACCGGGACTAGGACCGGGACCGGGACCAGGACTAGGACTGGGACCGGTCCCGCGTTTCGCGGGTTCCGGCCATCCTGCACCTGGACCAATACAGCGCTCCGTGCACTCGAAATTCAATTATGGCAGATCGGAGAAGCTGCAGGTGTTTATTACCCAAGCTCAATCAAGCCCAAGTCACAGTCGAGACAAGACGGGCGATGCGAATCAGGACCCAGTCATAGACCAAGTACCTCCAGTCGTTGAAAATCAGTGCAAAACGGCCAGGGTGCCTCAACAGCTGGAGGGTTAAAGAGGAAAAAGGAAGGGGTAGGGGCTGGTCGGGGGTTCCTCTCTCTCTTTCTCACTATTAGACACACACATACACACAGAAAGGTGCACGAAATAAATAGGTTGAGGGCGGGGACCTGACAATGCAACCTGAGTACTAAGAGGCAGTGAGAGGCTGAGAGCGTTGTTCAGCTTCGCTTTCCAAATTCAAACAGTATAACACGCTAGCCATTCTACCGTCTTCACCCGGCGAACAGAAAGCCCGGTCATTATCGCTGCATCTGGACTGAACAGTGCCCCAAATATTCAGCTATAATGACCGCCGGGTGTTATAATATTATTCGGGTGACGACAGTAGTCTTGCAAGACAGTGTCACCGAAAGGAGACCTTATACTAGCCCCCCCCAATCCTACATTCCATTACCATAACCCGACCTAGCATATACCGGAGCGGCGGAGCCTATAGTACCGCAAGGTCCGCAACTATACAAAAACTACACCAAAACTATACCCAACTCTACAGAACCTACCCCCTACCTAACCTAAACACAGATCAGACGTACCTCGGCCTGGAAACGGATCTACCCGATCGGTCAGGACTCAGTAGACTTGGAACAGTCGTTCCTGCAGACTCTGACGTAAAAGGCAGTCAGCACCCTCCGTCCCACTGACGTAGCTCCCTGCGGGCCTGCGGCTCTGCGACCAGAACAGAACCGAGTGCGCCGGAGTGGCTGCCGAGGTTCCGCCCCCCCTATTACGCTCTCTGTTTGGCGCTAATCCCGAGTCCCGACCAAGTGTCCTGGTCTTCGAAAGGCGTGATTTTGGAGACCCCTGTAATAGAAATATTGAACTGGTGGGTGACGGTAGTAGGCTGCAGTTAGCTGCTTCACGTTGCAGCTACGTCTGGGGACTCGTGGGGAGAGGCCTCCCTCGTTACCTGTGATGAAGGGGAGGTCTGACTCAGCAATGGAGGAGGGAGAAGTCACTATAATGAAAGGAAGGTGCTGTTGAGGGTGGAAAACCCCTCAGGCTGATGAGGACTGTGGGGGGGGTTGGTCGAAAGACTTGAGAGTCGAAACTGGTGGGGGAGCCAATACCCACTGGTGACAGCTGTGTAGTATTATTATAATGATTTCATTGTTTCTTGTTTTGTACACTATTCAATGAGCTCAGTTTGCTTCTTAAAGTGTACTGCATGTCTGTATCGACTCCACTCTCAGTAGCATCCATCATGGCATCACCTGGAGACTGAAGTTTTTGCTTCTTGCACCTGAAACTTAAGGAAGTTCTCTTTCTTCTTCGGAATGGGCCCAAGCCGGCAAAGGGTTGAGGTGACCATGGGGACACTGGACCCTGTTTCCAGCAAATTTCACTTTTCAAGTTTTTAGCCTATGCTGCGCGTGAGTAGTGGACGCAGTGCATTCTATCCGGGTTGAAGTGTGCGGTTCCCAGGGGCTCAATTTGCAAGCTTTAATTAAAAAAAATGGCTCAGGTTTTCCCCCAAAACAAAAACTTTGCTTTGAAGAACAACAGTTACTCTATATGTCTATATGACTCTATAATCCAGCCTCTACAGCAACCTTAAAAAAAAAAAAAAAAAAAAARACTCCAAGAGCATCTCTTACATTTAGAATCTTCTTAAAGTTTCTGATGGAAGAAAACCTCAAAGAGCATCTTCCGTACAGACTGCGTACAGTTCTTGTTGTTTTGCAGATCTCTGCCGGAAGTAATTGCCAGAAAAACTAATTTAAATAGAAAAACGAATTTGAGCCTTGGGTGACTTCCTCTCTCTCCTCTCTTCCCCTCTCTCTCTCTCTCTCTCTCTCTCTCTCTCTCTCTCTCTCTCTCTCTCTCTCTCTCTCTCTCTCTCTCTCTCTCT